ATTTCGGAACCTTAACACGACACATCTTTGAATTCGGAGCCCACATTGAGACTCAGAGGAGACCTGAACTGACAGTATGGAGTAGTGCTCTGGATATGTATCATACCTGAGTTCAGAGGTGTGATCCCTAGTACACATGGCTGAGCTGAGGTGTTTTCAGAGTATACTCCACAGATACTGGAGCTTGCCATTTCTTCAAGCTGCCGAAGCGGAACCGATACTTACCCGATTGAGCCTCAATCCATTATACTCACTGACAGCATTTCCGACAGCCAGCGGTCACAAGTACAGTAGGCACTTTGACCGAGTCTCACGGAGAAAATGAAATAACGTACTCACCATTCTCTTATGACAGATTCCGTGACACCAAGATCTACATCATACTACATGTCAGTCGAGCATAACAAATCACAGCTGACGTCGGAACAGTACCATATATTACCCTTTTTGGGTATGCGAATAGTGCGTCGTTGATCTACGAGAGCATCAATGAAGTGGTAAGCATTAGTTACATACATGCTACTAGCATCTATAATCTATAGTCTTATATGACACGTACAGTACTAGGATTACTCACCTATGCTATTGGGACATGACTCCGTGACCGAGTTCGGGTCAGTGGAGCGTTGCCGCATCGCCGTTCAAACGTTCGGGATACTACATACATGCCCGAGTCGACCTACGGAAATACCAGACAGTCAGTATCCTGTGACTGCTATCGCAATTTCAAGAGTGCATGCAATAATGAAGACTTCATCGATGTCTTGCAGGGGGCAGTTCGACGAATTGTTAGCGTGTAGTACTATAGTACTAGTACTTCGGCTGAGATACTTGCTCACAGTCATGATTGAGCATCTAGGTCTACCGCACATGCGCGTTATTGGACATCGTCCACAGCTCGGGTTGCAGGCGGTAGTGAACGAGCCTGAGATGAGCACAGCAGGAGTGAAGGCGCGGTCACGGCACTGAGACCGAGAGTGGTCCGCGTCACCTTCAATTTCAGCCACAACTACGCTCTGTCCCAACTCCGTCCCGTTCATCCACCTACTGCGCGCTGGCTCTACCTTTCACGGTATGTATGCACTTGAAAAAACTTGGGCTCGTTACTCTGTCAGCTAGACAAGCTGGCCGCAGCCCCTACCGCATTCTCTACGGACGGCACGTATTCTTTAAGCTGGCGATGTTCGACCACTGCAAATGGATCGTCCGAAAATCCATCTGCTCGCTTGGACTCCGTCGCGATTCTTGCGCTGCACCACGAAACTTGGAACATGCTAAGGTGCTTACCTCTGTGACAACCAAGCTGTATGCGCACAGTCGGAAGTGTGGGCTTCCGACTCGGTTCCTCACAGGCACTCCCCGTGTTCTACGTCGCACGTTCTCGTTGTCGCTGGACTCGACAGATTCTGTCAAACGAGCTACGATCGAATGACCTGCTTATCGGGGGACACATAGCAGATGGGGGCCCTGACCGTGGTCACAATATCGGTGAGTCTATGCACTTGTCACGCCTACAAATGCGCAGAACCGCGCTTCATCTCAACACGCGCCGCACATACGGCCTTGATAGGTCAAAAGGAGGACTCACGGCACCGGCCGTGTGGTCGTAATGCATCCTCCGATGTCTTCCTGGCATGGGCGAGAGTCGTCAGAGAGGGGGGATTGGTCTTCCGTCCGTGGCGTTTGCGCGTCCCGGAGTGGTACACTCGGTTGTGGCGCCGCCGCATGCGAGCTTTCATACATTCTACACGTCGATCTGGGGCGCCTGAGTACTTCGTCGTTGTACGATCTCGATCTCGAGCTCGGTTGACGGACGTCCCACCGTCTTCCGCCGCCGAGTCTGCTGTAATATTGACGCGAGTACCCGCCCCGGATACTGGGTTGGATTCACGAGTCGATACGGCACCTGGTCTGAGTCCCTGGACGGCTGGCCGATTCGCTGTGCGAGCGCTGCCGTCTCGCGGGCCACAATGGCGTGTTATGCCAGGAAGCTTGCCATGATGGCCGATACCATCTGTGGGGCGCAATCTCAAATGATCCCGCTGCTCGCCTCTCGTGACTGTCTCGGGTGGTTACTCGTTTCTTGTCAAAAGCGAAAGAGTCGAGACGAGGCACTCAGCATATTCACTCCGACCTCGATGATTCAAGCCGAGATCTTGACATTTGCTGACGGGTGAGCTGCTGCTGATCGCAAACAGAAGGTGCGCGCACAATCACCCTACTGCGGGCCTAGTGACGTCTGGGGAGTTGATGCTCGCGACAGGCTAGGTCTGTTTCGCCGGGAGCTATTCGCATCTGCTCTCAGTACAGAACATGGCTTCAAACCACAACGTGGTGCCTGCGCTGTACGTTCAACGGGTTTGTCTCATTCTGTCTTCATACGGTTTCTTCGCTACTGGCTCGAGCATCGCCGCTTGATGGTGAGTGTTGTATTTCGCCCGTGTGGCGATCTCGATCGCCGACCCTGCGGCCGGTCAGGGCGGGCGGGTGCAGTCATGGAAGATGCATCACCGCCCTGTCAGTGCTGCATGTACGGTCATCGGGGCCGTACAGCGTTCGACTGACCCAGACCCTGACGTCTACTTTCTGCGGACGGATCACAGATCCAGGGCCCGAGGGCCAACCTCGTATGGCAGCGGACTGTCCGTTGTTCGGTCCGTGTTTCCTGCAGATCCTCCGATCGATGAGAAAGGGCCCGGTGCGTGAGGGAGATACAGTGAGAGAGTCAGACTCACCGGCGAGCAACCGACAACTGTGTTGTCGAAGGTATCTGATGTCATGCCCGGGTCGTAGACGGTCCACGAATGAATCTCTGCTATGTGGTACGAGTTTTGACCGCGACTTGTGCCCCCAGGTATCTCGCTGGGTCGCTGGGTCACGCACTGGTAAGTAGGCAGAACGGGACAGCGAGTCTTGGATCTACAAGACCGCGCTGTACAGTCCCGACGCAGGGTTCACACATTGGGCGGTGACGAAGCAGCTGTGAGTGCGAACGACTTGCCCACGCACTGGCTACTTGCCGCATTACCTAGTAGCTCTCCTGCGTCCGCAAATCGAGCATTGACTCGCATCGGAATTCAAGGGGACTGTCAGACGGTACATTGTACTCGTCGACGACGCAGCCATAGCCACGAAGACCCTGTGCGACAGCATGCATTCCGACGAGGAAGCGTGATTCAGAGCAATGAGTCGAGATGACCAGTCACGGCGGATGACGGCGTGCAACTGGGCTCGAGTGAAACGTTGAAGGCCAAATTCGTTGTGAGCAACCGGAACGAAACGAGGCACGGAAGGGTCATGCGCCCGGGAGTCGTGAAGAAGCATTATGCTCATTCCTGGATGTGTATGAGCACGACAGGTGAGTGTCGGCATACATGACCTTCTCTGCGCTCACGACACGACACGACACGACACGGCACGGGCTCGCATTCGTCGCTGTACAAGCAATTCAGTGGCAACCTCAAGCAGTTCCGCCTCTGCGCGGGCTTCAAGCAATGGCTACGTCAATAGCCGGGTACACTATATCACTGGAGAGTGTTCCCTTCTTTGTACAAACCTGGCCGTGTCTCGCCGTGCTGATAATTGTACTCAGCTCGGTCGGCAACACACAGGCAACCTGCTGAGCGATACCTTGCAAGCGGGGATACGCGGAACGAGTGAACGGCGACATACGCCTGCCTGACCGGACTGCGCAGGCTACTGCTGTACTAACTGTCGACCGAACGTCCTCCCTCTGCCTACTTCTGTGTTTCATTCAGCATCTCTGTCACATTCAATGACCCTGCCAGGGCCGGCCTCCATGCAAGCTCGCTATTCTGCGTGTTCCGACGCACCGGCTCGCAAACTGGAGGACTCGGAGGTTTTGTGAGTGCCGATAGTCAAGCCGATTCGCGTCGTCACCGCATCGCACGTCCGTCGCTCGCCTTGGAAACTCTGCCAGTGCCGGACTGCATGGTGGTGAGTCGCCGCTGTGAGCTCTACCAGTTCGTCACTCGTCACCTCGGTCTCCCTCGCAAGATTCTCCTCGTCGTCTAGCCGTATCGATCCCTGTCGGTCCGCGAATTTCTCGTGCATATGGAACGAGTATCCGGGCTGTTAAGATTCGGCGCCGTCAAGTGAGCATTCTCACATTCGGAACTATGCCCAGCATTTCCGGGGCTTGTGGATTGGGATCGCAGGTGCGCTGTTTCGTCCGTCGACCTCGGTCTGTTGCAGGCAGCAAACACGACGCTGACCGACGAACACGGGACGAACACGGACGGTAGCTTAACGAGGGGCGTAGGAAGTGCTCAGGGCAGACGGTGGAGTGACGTGGATACGAGGTGCGTCGTTGCTTCTGGACCCTAGGACTCATCCCGACGCTTGCCCCTGGACACGGATGGAGTGGTCTTTGTGTCTCTGTTGTGTGCCCCCGAACGACCCGTGGCCGGCTCCGCTACCTAGGGATATCGCACGAGGGCAATCCGGGTGTAATCACTACGCGAAGTTGGGAGGATTCGTGTTCGTCCTTCACGCACACATATCGCCCCGCCATGTCAATAGCAGTATAGTGTTCAATGAATCTATTCATCGCAACTACACTATGTACATCGCCTCCATACCTACGCAGGGCAGTAACCGAGGGAGCGATGCGCCATCGTACCCGTCGTGTACGCAACGAAGGTGCTCGCTCCGCGGAGCCTCCAACCATCGCACGGGCACTTCCGCAAGTGTCTATGCACGTCGATGCCGACGTCGAGAGACGTCCATCGTGGCATGCCCGCCGGCACTCATCACACCACCCAGCGAGGCCGTGCACCCGCCCCCATTGCTCACCGCCGTCCCGAGCGCTCCGCTCACTGCCCGCGTCGTGACGAAGCTGTTCCCCGCTCCCCGCTCCCTCGCCGTCCATTCCCCTGAGCGAGCAAGTATCCGGAACCTCATCATGACGGCACCCACTCACCGTTCCCCGCCGCGAACCCGGAATGCCATCCGCGGCGCACACAGACGCGAGAAGCACGTCAGACGGTAATGGAGGACGTCCGCACCGTCTCGTACGAGATCCCCAGCGCGTCCCAACCGCGTCCTCCCGGCGTAGCCCGAGACGCGCCGTAACCGAGGCAGGCTCGACGGAAAGGCTCGTCCGCGTCGTTCGCAGTGGTCAGTGCGCAGAGTGACTCGATGGCAGCACCCGACATCCGAGGGGGGGCATGCGTTCTCTGCCCGCCCAGGAACGTTCGCGGCTGCTCGGGAGGAACATTCACGGCCTGCGTCCGATCAGCGCGCGGGTGCATCCATCGCGCCTCACGTCTGGTAGTCTGGATCGAGTCCGTGCATGCATCTGCCTGTGTCTGTGGCGCTGACGCAGCGTTCGCAGCGACGCCAGGCGCATCGCCGCCTCGCTTCCGCAGACACGGTGCACGATCTGAGCCCGAGCAGCGCAGGCGGCGGGGGCCGGGATGGGCTGCTTGCCGTCGTAAAGACAGAGGCCGCGGGTGAGCGAGGTGCAAGGGCGACGGGCTGCGGCCGCAGAGTGGCCCATCGGTGAGTCGTACACTGTGCGATCAGTGCCGGGTGACGGGAGTACGAGCAGGACGCACTTACGGCGTGGGCCATGCCAGACGAGCGAGTCCATGCATGCGTCCGAGATGCTGACAGCGCTGGCATCCATGCCAGACGCGCCGCCACGTCGCGGCTCCCGTCGCTTCCGCGGACACCGTGCACGATGAGGACGCGCGCTGAGCGTCCCGGAAAGGCGACGGCGACTTGGACGCTGTCATCGCGCTGACGAGGATCCCGGGCGAGCGAGGTATAAAGGCGCGAGCTGCGAACGCAGAGTGGCATCGGTAAGTCGCACTTTGAGTTGTGCAGATCGACGAGAGTACTGACTAGGGTTGCAGACGAACCACCGCGTGGGAGGATCTCTTGGCAGCGAGCCTGTGCGCAGCTTGTCGTGCAGGGTGACGGGTCGTCGTTGTCGTCGTTGTCGTCGTGCGTGACGGCCGGAGCTGGCAGGTAAGTTGCCTTGGCCTTGGCTGCGTCTTCGGAGATCACTGACGAAGGTCTGTTACAGAACTTCTTGGGCGTCGTTGACGTGAAGAGCGTGTGCGTCGTGGGTCGCGAAGGCGCGGAGGACGGCTGTGTCGGTTGTTGCGGACGGATGAGGGCATGAGGTCGGAGTGACGTTGCAGTTGCGCTGGGTGTCTCGTCCGGAGACGAGCGCGACGCCGGGTGAGCATCCATGTGAGTGGAGCGTTTCGTGCGCGCTGGTGGAACAATCGGCGAGCTGCGAGCAAGTGAGGACCAGGGGAACTTTGGGCGCTTGTTTCGTGCGGGGTGCACAATGGCGCGTAGCGTAGTGTCCGGTGTCCGATGCGGATCGAGACTGCGTGGCATGAGTGCTATGTTGACAATGTGTCGTGCGACGTGGTTCGCGTGCGGATTGAACGACTGAGCAGTGGACGGGGAAGGCAGAAGTGAGTGGGAGCGGGATGGAGCCTGGACACGACGGAGCGCAGCGAGGCGTGATGAACTACGTGCATATGTCGTTACGGACAGTCGATGAGATGCATGAGAGGGTTGAATGACGTGCGCACAGAGGGGTGGAAACGTGTGCGGACGCTCGCCAGTAGGATTGCGGCGGACATCGCACAGAGCTCACGCGTGTGTTGCGGCGGGCGGAACGACGTGTAGGGCACGACACGCTGCCTAAGCGACCCCAGGACGTTGTACGCGGTGCATTGGGGATAGCAAAGGGCAGGAGCAAGTCGGCGGTGGTGTCTGCGGGAAAGATGCTCATTGGTGAATGCGCGCTATACAAGGGGCGAGAGAAAAACTCACCTCTGAGCCAGAACGGCGAGAAAAGCGGGCACCGGCGGTGTCGATAGACGCGTCTCGAGCGCGCGCGTCAGGCGAGTGCAGCAGCAGGGAGCGGAGAGCAGAGCACGGGCGGGCAGAAGGGGCGGATGCTCGTGTACGCGCCGTCAAGGGCGCAAGAGGGATGGAGCCGTGTTTGGGGACGATGCGCCTATGAGTGAGAAACGGAGATCCCGCCGCAGAGCGCGGGGCGAGATGCTGGCAGACAGACGGGAGCAGAAGCAGAGCAGACGCAGCGCACAACGGAAACCGCGCAGGCGTGCGAGAGAGCAGTCGGGGAGTGACGTACGCGCGGTCGCCGATGATCGATGACGCGCGGGCTCGCGACGATTTTGTACGATGAGTAGCTGGCCCTGTGCTGGAGGAAATCCAATCCAAGCTGCGCTGCGCCGCCGCTGCGGGTCTCTCCGTGATCGGTTCCTGGCTAGTGCCTCCTTCCATATCTGGGCTCGCAGGTCGCAAACGACTTTGTTCTATCAATGAGTAGCTGGCCCTGTGCTGCTGCCGCCCAACACATTGCGACGCTGGCCAGGACATCAAGCATCACATCGTCTGAAGGCCGTCTCGGGATCGCGCTGGCCTGTTGGATGCGCGCCAGTACGTTGTCCACAGCCCCGACGGGACGCGTCAGTGGCTTCCGCGCTGCCGCGCCTGCGTAAAACCATCCCACTGCGATGCCGGCCCCGCACACACCCTCCTATTCCCCCTCTCCGGCCTTAGACTCTCTTCCTCATGTCGTCTGAGACCGTCCATCTCCTAGTGCTGGTCCACGGTATGTGGGGCAACCCCAGTCATCTAGACAGCCTACGCAAAGGGATCAAGGAACGCTACAGCCAGCCGGACTGCCCGAAAGGTCCAGATGGCGAGCAGCTGGAAGTGTTGCTTGCTGAAACGAACCAAGACGAGCACACATACGACGGTGTCGACTGGGGAGGAGAGCGCGTAGCTGAGGAGGTAAGTCCTGGTCCGCAGTCCCGTCACTGGCTCTCCTGGCACAGAACTCACCCGCATACTCAGATCCTTGCTGCGGTTAAGCGACTGGAAGACACCGGGAAGAAAGTCACTCGCTTCTCCATGACGGGTTACAGTCTCGGCGGGCTGGTCTCTCGCTATGCGGTCGGGTGAGTATTCCGTCCGTGACGCAGGAGTGTGCGCTTACCTTGAATGTAGCATTCTCCACCAGCGAGGGTTCTTTGAGAACGTCGCCGCAGTGAACTTCAACACTGTCGCAACACCGCACATAGGACTGCCTAGATATCGCACCTTCATTTCCTCGGTCGCCTCTTTCCTGGGACCCACATTGCTCTCACGAACTGGAGAGCAGTTCTGGGCTGTGAGTCGCGATGTGGACTCAGTCCTTATGTCACTGACATGTGAGACCAGGTCGACAAGTGGTCACCGCGCGGACGGCCCCTCCTAGAGGTTATGGCGGATCCGGACCGTGTCTTCTACCAAGCACTCTGTCAATTCCAGCATTTGCGCATATACGCCAATGCTGTTCACGACCTGACTGTGCCGTACCCTTCGGCCGCCATAGAAGCGGACGACATATTTTACGAGCACATGACCAATGGCATAGACATGTAGGTAGCCCACGCGAGTGCATGTATCCAGCGGGCTCACCAGTATGTATCCCTACAGAGAGCTAGACGAACAATACGCCCCTTTAATCAAGTCGTACCATCTTCCCGACACTCCGCCACCACCACCCATCGTTCCAAAGCCCCTTACGCGGGAATGGTTCACCAACGTGCGACTGCCTTTACCGCCTGTTCTGCAATTCAAGTTCCCGTACAACATCGTGAGTCAGTCGTCGGATATGACGTTCTTTGGGTTCTTACACTTCCAACAGCTTGTCTTCGTCGCTCTCCCCTTCATCATGCCGCTCTTCCTCACGCTCGTGCTTACGCGCCTCACGCTTTCCATGCGCGCGTCTCGCCGGCGTCTGCGACTGCTCGAGAAGGAAGAGTCTTCTGTCGATCGCCTGATGCACGTCATCGCTAAGCTCGAACGCAACATGGAGGACACCATGGCCGATATGCTCGACGGGCCCGCTTCCCCGGAACCACCTCTCGCAGAGGAATCCTCATACAGCTCCGCCCCACCGAAGGCCATCCTGGCCACGCCCGAAGGCGAGAGCTCTGCGCTGGAGAACGGGGAGAGGCCCGCGAAGGCGGAGCGCGTCGAGTCGGTGACGGTGTCGCACCCGAGCGGGCGGCCGCCGACGGTGCTGATGACGGACCTACAGCTGCGGCTGGTGCGGATGCTGAACACGCTGCCGCACCTCAAGAAGGAGATCGCGTTCATACACCCCGTCCAGAACGCACACGGGCCGATCATCTGTCGCGACCCGAAGCGGTTCCCGAGCCACAAGCTCGGCGAGGGCGTCGTGCGGCACTGGGCGGACCACTTCATCTTCTGAAGGCATGTTGGGTGTACGTCTCTGTTTGGCCTCTATGTACGCGGAAGTTCATTGGCTGCGACGAGCGTGCGAGCGTGGCGTGGGGGCGGGGCAGGGATCGTCGCACGGCGGGCGTGGGGAGTTTACGTTGCGGGGCGGGGATTGGCTGGAGGGCAAAAACGCGAAGATTTTTGCAAGTCCAAAACACACTTTTTTCGGCCATAGTTTCCCCTCCCCGCAGGGAGCTCGCGTGTTATCGGGTGTCAAACCTTTTCATGCCACACACAAACGGGTCCAGGTATGTACATGCTGACGAACAAAAAAAAAGAAGCCCCCCTTCCCTGCCTCACTCGCCCCTCCTCCTACGGGATGGCATCCAGAGGTGCGTGTCCCTCGTCCTCAGTCGCCGTGTGTACATACAACGAGTCAATGTAATCAGTTACTCCCCACTCAGAGTCCCGGGTCGAGCCTGTGTAGACTCGTCAGCGAACACGGCATGCAAATGCGTGACAAGCAACTCACCAAGTTGGATGGCTCGTCGTGAGCGACTGCGAGGCCTATGACCTCACGCAGGTCGACGTAGATGGATGGATGTTGCCAGTGACGATCCCCTCGCTCGTGTGTCTCGACGTGCCGGTCGTCTCATTCTCGAACATGCAGTTAGTGCCGTCGCAATTTGAGCACGAACGTACACTCACCTGGACAGACCCTCGCAGATTGCACGTCACTGCTGTATCGCCAGTCCCGGCAGGTATCGGCGGCCTCCCTGATTAGCGAGTCAAGACGCAAGACGCTGCTCACCGCCCCGAGTCGCCCGCTCGCCAGACGGCGATCTATCTTCATTCGCGCGGGAGCGAATCATCTGGTGTTGGCCTACGAGGAGGGCGGCCCAAGGTGCAGCTCTGACGAACCGCTCGCCGAGCCGTGAGCGTGGGTTCCAACTCGGAGATGTCTAGCCCTCGACAGTGAGTGACGCAACAAGCACGAGGGAGGGCAGACTTACACGCACTGGGACGCCGCTCACCGGACGGCGATCCATATATACATCGCCGTTCGCGGGTGAGTGGACACATCATGTGACGACTGTCATGGGCCACAGCACCGACGCAGGACTCCTCGAAGCTTGAGATCACCGGCGTACAGGCAGCACTCGTGGGCTGCTTGCATCGGGACACGCCGACAGGCCTGTTGTGCACGTTGTGTCAGTCCTCTGAAGGGAGCAGCCGAGGTAGGCTGACGACGCACCTCGCACATGGCCCACGATGTCGCTCGCCGGACGTCGATATATATATACTTTGCCGTTCTGGACCTCGCGGACTGTAGTGAGTACCCATACCTACCATGTGTTGCCCTTGAGCGAGAAGCCTACCAAGGTACGAAGGACTTGTCGCCCTGACCTATACTCACGAACTCTGTAGACACCGACGTGTTGTGTCAACGAGATGGACAGCATCAATATTGGATCAATGACGCACCTCGCGCATGTCCCGAGACGTCGCTCACCGGACGGCGATCCATACATACATCGCCGTTCACGGGCGAGCGATGCGAGGGACCACAGCGCTGACGCATGACTTGTCAGAGCTTGAGGCATAGTGTGTCCGAGCATCGCTTGCGCGCTGCTCGCGCCGGCAAGCGACGTGCAGCATGATGCGATGGCGCACATGCTAGGCACAGCAGTCAATTAGTTGAACGGAGCATCAGTACTGGCTCGACGACATACCTCGCACACGGTCCGCGACGTCGGTCGCCGGAAGTCGATCCATACATACAATGCTGTTCCGCGTAGCACGAACGGCGAGCGCTACGGCCTCGCACGCACATACTGAAGGGTCTTCACTTTGCTTACCGGGAGAGGGATGTCAAGATATACATGTAGAGTATGTAGACACCTTCAGTACTACCGGTCTTCTTGATGACCTAGTAGGATCGCCTGCACCGAGCGTACCTGGTGAGTGATACGATACATTATGTTCAATAAGAACTTACTAGTCCAGCACGTCTAGGCGCAGAAAGGTACGAAGGACCTGTTGCCGTGACGTCCTCTCGTAAGCTCTGCACGACGCCAGGCGTCAATCTATTCATACACGATCGTCGTGCGTGACCCGAGCCGTCGTCGGTGGTAGTGCAGTCAGAAGAATCGAGCGATCGTACGCTGACGGGCTGCTCCTGTTGATAGATGGCCCGGGCCACGTCGCCCCGAGTTGCAGTAAGTACTAGTATTGTGGCAGCGGTGTCCCTAATTATCGTAACATTGATCAGTAGTCGCCACACACAGATATCACCATCCACGCACCATTGCCGAAGCCCTGCGCGCCAGAACACGATACGTACATACAGTCAGTACATGACCTGGCAGCCAGGGCGAGAACCAACAACTTTCGCGGTCGTGCGGATATCAAGGA